GAAATCCGATTTGGCCGATATCCGCACCGGCCAATACCCAGGAGTCCACTGTATAGTATACCTGGTACATTGGTATGGCTATAATGATGTTAGGTAGCACAATCATCCAAGCACCACAGCATCAATGAAGATAACACCTTTGCTATCTTTAAAAATAGGTGGCACAAAGGAAAAAAGAATATTTTGGTAAACAATTCTAATAATGTAATTAACCTAACCCAACTTAACTTTAAAGAGCAGTAATTTTAGGCTAGGTTGAGTTAAAATACCAGTAGCTACATGTTTTATTACCAAAAAAATGTAGGTTTAATCCTATTTACCCAAAATATAAAAAACTGTCTACTACCACAGACAACTTTAAAATTAAAAAATTACACAATAAAAACCAAGCAACTAAACTCAACATTATCATCAGCAACCACTGACCTAGCATACTGTATATACAAATGACCCTCGAGTTACGAACCTACCAATTATTGAACTTTCCGAGTTTCGACCGCTCTTTTCGAACCAATTTTGTTCCGAGTATCGAACTCTACTCGTCGTTCGAACCGCAGAGTACCGGACCTGGCTGCCAGCCCACTCTGTCCACGTCCCCATGCAGGCATCATGAGCACTCTGGCTTTGTTGATGCTTGAGTGAACACTAACCTGTGTGCTCATTCAAACATTTCACAATTAATTCATTGTGTTTAGTGCTTGTGCGACTGAAATAAGCTACCATGGGCCCAAAGAAACTTGCTAGTGGTACCCTTGTGATAAAGAAAGTGAGAAACACCATAGACTTGAAGAAGGAAATACTAATGCAAAAATATGAGAGTGGTGTGAGACTTGTTGAGCTTGCCAGGATGTACGGCAAAAGCAATTCAACCATCGCTTCTATCCTGGCAAAGAAAGAACAAATCAAGGAAGCTGATGTTATGAAAGGTGTTGATATGCTAATCAAAAACGGACCACAGACAGTCGATCAGCTAGAGAAGTTGTTGGTGGTGTGGATCAAGGATAGAGAGATGGCAAGTGATAGTGTTTCGGAGACAATTATTTGTGAAAAGGCAAGGAAGTTACATGCCGACCTGGCAAAGAAAACTCCTGGAACCAGTGAATATAAGGCCAACAAGGCTGGTTTGAAATATTTAAGAAGCGTAGTGGCATGTTGTAAGGCATGGTGAGGCAGCCAGTTCAGATAAACAGGCAGCTGAGAAGTTTGTACAGGAGTGTTTAATTGTGACGAAACAGGCCTGTTGTGGACTATTGTGGCACTGGGGAACACCCTGGGGCTGGAGGTGAGTGGCGAGGATGTGGAAGAGTTGGTGGAGGACAACAGGGAAGACCTAACCACTGAAGAGCTGGAAGAGCTTCATCTGGAACAGTATCACACCACAGCTCAGGAACTTGCTTCAGAGGAGGAGGAAGAGGGAGTGGATGAGGTGCCTTCTTTAAAGATTAAGGAGATTTGTGCTAAGTGGAATGATGTCCAAATGTTGGTGGAGGAGTACCACCCTGAGAATGCTGAAACAAGCCATCCTTGCAACAAGTGCAGTGACAGCACCATGTCCCATTTTAGGGAAATCTTAAAGAGGCACCAGAAACAGAGGACTGTGGACAGTTATTTTGCGAGACAAGGGTCCAGTGACTAAAGCTGGTCCTAGTGGCATTAAAAGACAAAGAAGGGAAGTAACCCCAGAGAGGGCTTTGATACCTAAAGTCCTTAGTTTAGTTTAATATGTTTATTATGCACCCCATACCCATCCTGTGGGCGGTAGTCAAAAGATTACAGAGGTACATAATTGGTCCAGGGACTGGACTCCAAAGTTTTGATAGCTGAGCAAGTTACAGAGGTGATGAACTCACAATTTACAAAGGTAATGAATCCTGTAAGAATGATTACTTACATTTATACATGGCTACAATCATGAACAAATTATAGAGTAATGAGCAATTCACACTTCCACACCTGGTCACAACTGTAATGAGTTATTGGTGCAAATATTGATTGTTGAGTCACACACACACACACACACACACACACACACACACACACACACACACACACACACACACACAGTTAGTTTTTGTTAGTTTAATATCTTTATTATGCATCCCATACCCATCCTGTGGGTGGTAGTCAAATGATTACAAAGGTACATAATGGGTCCAGGGACTGGACCCCAAAGTTATGATAGCTGAACTAGTTACAAAGGTAATGAACTCCAGGTAGATCTGGTCACAATCATGGCAAGTTACAAAGGTAATGAATCAGCCTCACTCCTATACATGGTTACAGTCATGAACAAATTACAAAGTAATGAACTCCCCTTCCAAACACTAACCCCAACTCCCTCTCTCCTCCCTATCTTCCAGATGCCATCACCAATCTTCAATAAAGCTAAGTAAAAAATGTTATTTTATATGTTTATTTAAATTTATTACTAATTATACTATGTACATATGTTGTGTGTATGTAAAATGATAATGTAATCTCCATAAAATGTATTTTTTTGTGAATATTTTTGGGTTTTTGGAACGGATTAATTATATTTCCATTATTTCTTATGGGAAATACTGGTTCGACTTTTGAACATTTCGACTTCAGAACTAGCTCCTGGAACGGATTAAGTTCTAAACGCAAGGGTCCACTGTATAACCCAATCGTAAACTGTGTTGTCGAGTGAAGAAGATTTCACTCAAATTATTAACTCTAAGGTTAGTCTTTGTGTGGCTTATTTTCACCGAGGTCTTTAATCCTCTCCCCATGTCAGTAAATGCCCAGCTATCTACTTATTGCTAAGTGAACTTGGGCAGTAGGTTTAAGTAAAAATGACCAACTTTTCCACTCATCCTGGGACTGAACCTCAGTTCATCAGTGTATGAGCCGAGGCCACCACCAGTCAAATCATTAGTACCCACAAGTAAATCACCGTTATATTTTAACGAGTCCTTGAACCTGCCACCTGGATAACTTGCCGATATTTGTGATTTCACTGGACACCTCTTTTCATTCTCAGACTGTAATATCTCTGCACATGACAAACTGAATAAAAAGCAATTATAGCAATGCACCCTAAAGTGCTCATGGTAGGAACTACAAACCAGGAGAGGAAAAGCTTTATTCAGGAAACACACAAATCTAAAATAAATTTGTACAATCACTCCAAGGGCACATAGATGTCGTGAAGTAAAGTAAAATTCATTTTCCATAAAGCATACCAGTAGTATCACATTATATTCTGGTTTATCACACACAGGAAAGAGCCCAGTTTTGCAATGCATTTATGGCAGATTAAACAAAGCTACATTTAAAAAAAAAGCTTAAGAATAGTTAGGTAGGTTATGATGTAGTTTAGAAAACCAAAAAGTTAGGTAGAGTGTATAAATGTTCAGAATAATATAAATATGCTATATATAGGAAAGAAATTTAAGCATAATGATTAATCTAAGTACTGTAATGTGGTAACTTTCTGAAACAGAATTAAGAAATTTCAATGCAATGATCATTCTATGTAATAATTCTTGACTGTTTCAGAAGAAATGGCAGAATGAAGGGATTTTACCATAATATCGGAGAACAGTCGAGACAAGAGGTGCACAAGGATGAATGGCACTACTACATGTACGTACTTGATAGGCAAGTCTCAATAAATGCATTTGACTTTTAAGATAAGATTAGGATAAGAGTTGTTCAGATTTTTATCCTGGAGGGTTAGCCACCCAGAATAATCCAAGAAAGTCAATTTGTCATGGGTGGCTGTCTTATTTCCAATGGGGTACTTCAATCTTGTCCCCCAGGATGCAACCCACACCAGTCGACTAACACCCATGCACTTACTGCTAGATGAACAGAAACAGGCAGGTGTAATGAAGCATGCTCAACTTTTCCACCTATGCCAGGGATTGAACCACAAACACTCAGTGTGTAAGGCAAGCGTGTTGCAAACCGAGCCACAGTATGACCATTATAATTTACATTAAGGTAAAAAAGTGTTTTTTTAACAATAATTTTGAGGCAGTTTACAGATGGAGAAGTTTTGGAATGTTCTGAAAGTGAGTTCAAGATTTTGGGGCCTTTTATACACCAAGTTTTTACTGGGGTTAAGTCAAACATGGTGGGCATCCAAGTGCCTGTTTGCTGTTATGCATTATGCCTGTGAATTCTGTTGCATATCCCAATAAAATGTTTCAAAGCTGGATTGATATTTGTATCTATTATCCTGTAGTAAGAGATGTGGGGGCCAAGTGTTATTTGCCATCTACTTGTGTGATCATTCAAACAGAAGCTTTTTGTTGAGTTACTACTGATTTCAGGTAATTGCTGTTGTAGATCCCCAGGCACATAAACCATAGGTAAGGTAAGCATAGCTTTGAGTAGTAGAAGCGAATAAGCAATGTTGTTTGAGGTACATAGTAACATATTAGATTCAAATTCAAATTCAAAATTTATTCTCTTTAAGGATTACAATGCTGAGTTTACAGAATTTGGTTATTGTGTGGTTTACATGTAGTAAAATAATAATTACAGAGTGTACCACTAGAACACCTAGCATGGCTAGGCATTTCGGGCAGACTTAAATTAAATTTTAAGTTTAAAATATTACAAAATTATGAGGTTAGTTGGTATTATGGCTAAGTGACTAAATACTAGTTTGTGAGTTTAGCAGTGTGAATGCTTTTGTTTTGGCACTATACATAGTTTCAGTATTGGAGTATCACAGTATTGGAGTATCACAGGATGCTTACACAGTGGTACATTACATAGATTTAATTTGGGAAAACCCAATTAAGTCAGTGTAACTATACTGTAACAATATTATACCTTGATACAAAAAATAACTTTCTGGAATGTTAATTATTTTTATTGTTATTGAACATTCATGAAAGGAGCATAGCACCTGGGGAGACTGGAAGGCAATTATGTTTGATCCAAGGAAAGAGAAGATAAGTCCAATTCCAATTAAGGCATCTTCAATGAGGCATCAAATGTTAATAAGACAGAGTAACACTCACCTGCCCATTATGCTGCCATCAACAGTTTCAATGTTGAGAGCGTTGTTGATGGCCTCAAACCCTGAAGATTCTGGCAGCAGCTTCATTTTGAGGCTTACTTGATACCAGTTTTTGATCCAAGTGCTTAAGACAGCGGCTAATTTGTAGTATTCTGTTGTTAATAATTTCTTCAATACGCTTCGTAAACTTAATACTACTGTATTTTAGTTGAGGTAATAATGTATAAATCAGATTGGCTTGAAGCTAAAATATTCAGTATTTCTTTTCTTGCTGGAGTGAAATAAGCTCTTGTGGTATTTCTTCAGTAGTGTGAAGACATCAAAAAATTACTACAGTTCACTTGTAAGTTAAAAATGTCTTGGCTGGTTTATTGGGCAAGAAGGTATTAGAGTCCAGAGACGTATGCTGGAGAGACTTCCCGAAATTATAACGACACTACCAGGTTTGTACACTTCATCTACGACAAAGTATTCTTGCTGCGAGATGGTCATAATACCAGGTACAGTGTGTGCAACACAAGAGGTCAAGATGCCCTCTTAACACAGTCAAGAGGAAGGTCCTCACCCTTGTGAGAACTACAACACTAACAGCAACCTTAAAGGCAGATATCCCATCTAAGGTTCACTCCACTGATGCTAAGACGTTACCAAGGTGTGCTCAGTCCTCCTTGGAACAAGATCTTGGTATAATTTGAGGGTACACTAATGTAATATGCAAGGTAACACACGCCCTAGTGTCTCCCTCACAGCACCACCACTGCTGATTATTGACGAGGTAACAAATATATCCCTCCCAGGTTCACCTCACCGATGTTAACACGTTACCAAGATGTGCTCTCCCTTCCTTGCAACAAAAACTTGGTATAATTCGAAGGTAAGCCAACGTAAAAAAAAAAGCAATGTAAACGCCCGTTGTCAGAGTGAAGGTAACTGAGGCCCTACTGGCCCACCACTGCTGCTTATTGACGCTACTCCCAACATATCGTACACTACATAATACAAATACACATGCAAAACAACCACAGGGGGAGTTGAGTGATAGCTCTAGGCCTTTCGCGTTGCAATCAACACAATCGAGAGGTTGTAATGTTGTAGAAAAGAGGGGGAGGTCCAAGCAGTGGTTGTTTTGCATCTTGTATCACTTGTTCGCGATTTTTGCACAAATAAACATTATTTTCGAAACATTATACATAAACTCATTACAATAACTAATTTGTAAAGCCCATTGTGTGCACACCATTTCGGCCAAACTTACACTAAGCTTAATACTAATTAATGGTAAAAACTTCACATGCATGTATTACTAAAAGCTAGAACTTAAAAAAAACACAGTAAAAACAGGAGTTTAATATGTTTTTTACGCACCCCGTACCCATCCTGTGGGCGGTAGTCACCCCATACAAATCCTATGGGCTGCAGAAAACAATATGAAGTTCAACGATGAGAAATTTCATTTACTCAGATATGGTAAACATGAGGAAATTAAATCTTCATCAGAGTACAAAACAAATTCTGGCCACAAAATAGAGCGAAACACCAACGTCAAAGACCTGGGAGTGATCATGTCGGAGGATCTCACCTTCAAGGACCATAACATTGTATCAATCGCATCTGCTAGAAAAATGACAGGATGGATAATGAGAACCTTCAAAACTAGGGAGGCCAAGCCCATGATGACACTCTTCAGGTCACTTGTTCTATCTAGGCTGGAATATTGCTGCACACTAACAGCACCTTCTTGACACCATGATACTGCATGTTAACTCGACTCTGCAAGGAAAGGAGTGAATGTGGCAAGCTCTTTCTGACATACATCACACAACAGTTGGTTATAACCTAAGGTCAACCAACTGTTGTGTGATGTATGTCAGAAAGAGCTTGCCACATTCATACTTTCCTTGAGAGTCGAGTTAACATCGTATTGGTGTCAAAATATGCAGCGATTTTCCATAAAAAATTTATGAATCTCACCACAAAATTCTTACCA